TTTTCACAGAATTTTATAGGAGAGCTCAGCCCCCCTAGGCCCCTCCTGGTTACGTCCCTAACTGCTGAGTTATGTTTCATCTTTTCACTCGTCTCCATGATCGAAGGATTCATAGTCATATGAGATTTTTTTTCTTCAGATATTTAACCCGCTGTTGCCATTAATATTCGAATAAAAAATAATCATTCGTTATGCTTTTTTTTCTCTTCAGATTAAATAAAACTCAATCAATTGAAATTATGTCAAGCAAGTGGCAAATAGTTCCAGATCTTGCTGCTGCTGTTCTAGGTGCAACCGAAGAAATCTTGATTAGTTCAGAAAGTCCATCGTTGGCATGCGATCGTACTCGATTGATATCATTAACCAACTCTTCAAATGACTTTCACGTTCCATTATCATGCTTAAATTCACGAACAATGTCACAAGTCAATGCAAAAAAAGCATTTACTTATTTCGATAAAAATCGCGATGGAAAATTGAGTATTAAAGAGTTCAAATCAGTTATGCATGATTTGGGTTATAAAACTGTTGATAAACAATTAATTAGACAAATGTTTTCAGAAATAAATGGTAATGGAAATCAGCATGCATTGACGTACGAGGAATTCGTTGAATTTCTCGAATCAAAATTATCGTCAACAACCGACAATAATCATTCACCTTCGACAGATGATTTTAAATTATTATCATCATCGCAGAAAATGGAATTTGATATTGAAACATTATTTAATTGTTACGATCTTGATAAGAATGGCTTCATTGAACCAAAAGAATTACGAAAAGTTATGAAACGTTTAATAGGACAAAAACTATCTAAACAAGACATTGAAGAGATGATGAGTGTTGCTGATATAAATGGTGATGGACTATTAGATAAGACGGAATTTGCACTTCTATGCCGTGGTTTTTGTTGAAAACAACAAAAATTATTTTCTTGTTCATTTGTATATTAGGGCAGATATAATAAATGTGCGTTGTTTGATTTTCTCCCTGGTTTTGTTTTACATTCTTTTCTTCTATTATCGTCTATGTCCTTGTCTAACATGTTGTGTGTTATAATCGTATTGATTCGATAGAACATGTCAATTTCATCGTTTCTGATGTAATCCATCTTGTTTATCTGTTGCTTCCGGGATGAAAGTCTTCAATATAGTGAGCAATTCTTTTCTTATTTATTGAGCATTTTGTATATGTTTTGTCGATGTTTCTAATGATATTATTTCGAGATTTTTAAGTACTAAGACGGAAATAAAACTAAGAAGAGCAAAAGCACAATAACTTAATTATAAACAAATTGTTTTTTTCAAATTCGATTCGGAAATCAGTCAATTTATTTCAACATTTTCGTGACCTCCACAGAATCTAATTTTAGCAGTACCTTTTGCTCTCATTGCAACAACCCGAGAGAGAACAAATATCAGAATTACTTCAGCTGTTGGCTACGTGTAATACATAGCTCGACGAGAATGTTTTGATGAAAGAAAGCTTTACGAGTTACTTCAGCATAAGCGAAAAACAGCTTGACAGCGTGATAAATAATGCTATTATGTTCTTGAGCAGTATCAGGTAAAATTCTGAACAAAAGAAGCATTTACTGATTATATGATATTTCTAACGGCGAGTTATTTTTGGCAGGAACATGCAGCACAGAAGCGAACAATCTGAGCTCCTTTCACAGATGAATTGTTTTCTAAGCAACCAGCTACTACTTGTATTTGATTGACAACAATACTGATCATCCATGCGACTAACTCCTGTAAAAGAAATAGTCGCAATGAATAGAAGAAGAAAAACCACAAAGTTATCTAGACGATTTGAGCACGACTTGCACAAGGATCCGGTAGAAAACAGGCTCAAATTATGTCGATCAGATCAAGAACGATTACAAGAAAAACAACAGATTTTGTTCTTAATCACAGTTTTGTATTCCGAGTACAAAAATTAAGACTCAAAACATGCGTGCATTTGTCATAGGAGCTGCAAATAGAGTTTTATTTTTTTTGCATCGATCGTCACAGAAAAAGTCAATCAGGAAAAGTATTTATTAAATTTCCATGAACCCCTCTGGGAAGTCATTTCTTTAAGAAAATTGTAATGCAAAAAAGCAGTTGATGTCATAACAAAAATATCGCCACATAAAGTCAGATGCCCCCCAGCTTTCCATGTTCTATTTTAAACGAGTAACAATTATTACTCCACAGGCGCCCGAAAGATTGTTCCCTGCTTTTGAACTTAATAGGATGTTGGCTGTGCTATTCTTTATAGAATAATTGTTGTTCGCTCAACATCAATTATTGAGGCCTTGGGAATATCTGATTTTCCATAAAGATATTCTCGTTGTGAGTGCCCATATAAGCATAGAGGAGAGCAGATAGTTTTCCCCCCTATTAAAATACATATATTTCTATTGATAGGACAATGCTCAAGATAAAATGATTCACTGTCGATTCAGCTGAAGTTGAACTAAACATGGAGGTGAACAAATCTCTGTTTGAGAGATCGATTGAAAAACCATTAAAATACAGTACTTTAGATTAAATAAAACATTTGCGTATCGTTTGTTTTATTTTTAGAATTGACCACGATAGAAAATGTTGTTCTGTAGACAATACTAATGGTGAAAACTTTTTTTTTATAATTGAATGCAAATAGATATTGAGCAGTTACAGAAATAATATTTACGGATATATTTTTTAGAAAAAAAAAACAGTATCAATTTTCCCGATCTGCATTCAAGTTTCTCCATTTAATAATATAATTATATTTCCACGATTTCAATGTCCACAAAATTTAGTCCATCTTGACATGATTTACATAGGTTCCATTCCCCCATTGTTTAATCCGCTGGTAGAAAGATGATTCTGAAATAGATCATTTTCAACGCTATGATCTTTTTTTTATAGACAGCTGTCTTAACATAGATATTAATCAAGAAAAAAAATTGCCTTGGCCTGAGTCATTGCAACTTCTTTTTAAGAGGTTTCGATTGCCATCACAGTAAATCTAGTATCTTGCCATAGGGATCAACAGAATCGCTCTTTTTCTGGCCCGAGTCTCGGTCAAAATAATTTTATTGTTAATGGTCCAGCTGGGGTGCATCAATTTCGATTCCGATTATAATTAATGCGGTGCGAAGCACAGCATTCATGTAGTCCGTCGCGAGTTTTTTTTTGTTTCTTTCTAACTTGAGTACGCATAAAATTTCTTATAAAGTAACGTGATAATCTAAAGAACCGTTATTGATAGAAGATCCATTCCAACTAGATATGAAAGTATCGAGATCAAAGTTGTTACATCTTTTTGCCAATTCACAATACTAAGTCTCGTTTGTCTAAAAATTTGATCCGAAAATGATGATTTTGAAAGGTTTTATTGTTTGATAGTTTCGAGATAATTAAAGTGACGTCATCAAGTAATCTTAGCCAATAGTCTATTTCTTAGCATCTGATCTAAGATAGTGAATCATTGAAATAATTTAATGTTCAATCAAAAATATTCTCTAGGATTATGGTGATAATCACGAAAAAAAACGTTTTCTCAGCAATGAATTCTATTAGGATTACTTGAGAACTAAAAAATATGTAATGATTTTTTGTTTTTTATTACAACTGCTGAAGACAGGAAAAGGTGTATATTTCAAGCTAATATGAAACTAATCAGGCCATAACGATGTCTAATTAATTTTAAGATTGCTTGTTCCATTTCCGTTAAATTTTTTATTTTTTCGTGTACTCGACTCGTGCTTCGCACCGCATTTTGTATACGAGTGAAACTCGAATACCATCTAGTTTTTAGTTTGGTATTGATTAGAGTCAACGCTAGAATTGACTTTTGTAGAATTACTGATTTGGCACATATTCAGATGCATTCATAATTTTTGCAAGTTCAATTCAGTTCCAATGCATCTGTCAGAGCTAGGGATGTACAAAACCAATAGTTTTCTTATTACACGTAAAATTTCGCTAGATTTCTAACCATTTGACTTTTCAAATTTTCACAGACTTGATAGTTCTTCAACAAAATACTAAGTCTACGTGGATGGTCTTCAATTAAACTGGTGTTAATTCATCTATTTGAAAATCTATAAAAGCTATCGAAATGCTACAATTGTTGAAATAAAAATCAAGAGAAATGAAATGAAATTTTCCGACTGATCTAAGTAATGGCTATCGTTAAATTCATGTATTAGAAGTAATAAATTCTGTTTGTCAAAAATCGGGAATAGTTAGTATCAGTTTATTCGTGAATTTGAGTCTTTTTCAAAATAATGTGAACAGAAATAAAAAATAAAAATTCTATTTAGCTTATAATTTCTAACTAAAAGCAATCAGGCCAGTTCCTCTTTTTAATTGGTTTTTACGTAATTTATAATCTTTGATTGATTATAAGATAGGACAAAATATAGTTTACATATAGCACAATGAACTACTCACTTGCCAATAGAAATAAACGGATTTGAAGGCTTTTTCATGTTTTATTTAATATTAATAATTTGTTAGTTCTATTATTGGAAAAAATTCTTTGTCTAATACAAAGTTTCATTTTTCTCTAGCCCTTTTGTAATCCATAGCGAAGTAAGCCATTTAAAAAGCATTATCATATTCCACAATAGTGTCAATGATCTATTTCAATTCAGAAAATAATCTTGTTTTTCAATGAATTAAAATTTTACTAATAAAAATATTACAAAGTTTTTATCGGAGAGTGATTTTCATACTTCGCGAAATGTTTCATTCTGTTTAAAGTATTCTGAAAATTTTCGCCATGAATAATCATGATTTTGAAAATATGTTATGATACTCTGTCTGCAATAATTTCAACTACTCAACGAAAACAAAAAGGTCTGATGATGCAGTTCTTGATCTTTCTAATCTGTAAAAACGAATACAATTAGTAAATATCACTATGGATAATGTCCATATTTTAGACAAAGCAAGATTCATTTTGATTGGTCTGTTTTGGATGAAATAACTCGTTGAAATACTATTCTCTTGAATTTAAGATTGTTCATACAATGAATATATAAGTGCAATACTGAATTGTGTACACGCTCAAACCAGTTTTCTAAAAATCTTTATTATTTATTTATTTTGTTAAGCTTTCAAATCCACTTTATTGTTAGTATAATTTCAATTCGATTGTCTTTTCTACTCTCTCAAAACTTACCAGCAGGATAAACCAGAAAATACACCACGTCTACTTGTCAATTTTCACGCGATTCAAAGTACCCGTTCATTACTGGTATACTGAAATGAAAAGATTAAATGTAATTAGCTGGTGAATGAATGAGTTCGAATGAAATAGAGAAGAAAAGAGCAATCGTTTTTGATTTTCATTGTAAAACAAAAACTATGTTTTTTCACCACTATACTTCTTTCGCTCGAACAAATATCTCAGCGTTAGTAATGAGCTAATCGATTTCACGCACAAAAAAAGTACTCACACTATCCTTGCATCAATTGCTTGATTTTTATATTGTAAACCGACTATTCAAGGAAAAATAGATATTAATGATTCGACACTTAATTTTCCATGGGGTTCGATATACAAACACGTTTTTCCAGCAAGAGCAGGTCTTGCTATTTGTATTAACATTTTTGGAATTTTGATATGACTTTCAATTAAAATGAAACATGTATCACTTTTGCATCAAGAACAATTCTTTACCGAGATTGCAAAATGATCTAGAAATAATCGTTCGCATTTTCTATTTAATAAATATGCATATACCTCAAATAGAAGTAGATTAAATGTTCCGGTGACTTGTTATTCTGTTACCAATTTTATTGCTATGGGTGTTGGGTGTGGGTGTGGGTGTGAGTTACTCGTTTATCTACCCCCACCCCCACCCACACTCCACACCCTATGTGCATCCCTATCGTACAAAGATCGAACTTAAATTTATTACTATTTCAATTCTGTTTTGTTAAGAACGTCTATCAACAAAGTTGAAAGCAACACAATATACTTGTGAAGCTATCAACGCTACACCTTTATTCAATAATATTTTGAAAAATCATATTTACCACCACCCCGGAAAAAGGTAAAAATAGGCAATGTGGAAAATTTTATATCTGGTATCTTTAGTAAATTCGACTCTATTTTCAGTGACTGTTATTGCCATGCCTTGTTTTCAGAAATGATTCCAAGGGATTCAAAATTTACAGAACGCTGCACAGCTTTTGAATATGCTGTAACATACGATCACGCTAGATGTGTCGTAGAGAAAAATAAACCATAACGATTGTCGTAAAGCGTGCATAGACAAGTACTGGTAGATAGGGGCGCTCATTTATTTCTCCTCTTTAACATATGAACTCAAAGGTGATTGTAATGTATGACTAACTTGATTGATGAATATCGCATGGAGTAGTTTATTCGCAAAATTCGCAAAATTCAATAACCAAGCAATTCTATCAGGAATTATCACAAAAAATAAAATTTAAACAAACTATTTGTTTCAGTGGCCAATTCGAAATGGGTGTGAGTGTTCGAATAGAAATAATAAGGCACAACCACTCATAATCTCAAGAGAAAGGATAGCTAGATCGAAAGTCACACAATTCACAAACTAGAGCTTTGTTTTTCAATGAAGTCTAATTAGTTCAAGTTACAGTAAATGAAAACGTTTCAGGTTGAAATATTTCTGGATCAAGTTTGGTTTCCAACTTCCTTGAAAATCATGATAAACAAGTGCTTCTTTATCATTTCTGCCTTTTGCACCCAAGCTAATAGCAACTGGAGAAAATGCTGCTACCGGTAAATAATAAACATCGCCAATTAGTCGACCCTGGTTCAATTTTGACAATGTAGAACTATTAATATTAAATGTTTCATTAAGATAATCAAATATAGTATCAGTCCAAAGGCCTGGACCTGTCCAATCCATAATAATGGTGGAAAGATCTTTTTTTGATTTGATAAATATCTTTGTTTTCTTTTTGATATTATCTATCATTCGTTTGAGTATTGGATGCTTTGGTTTTGCAGCAAATGTCCATTGGCATAATTGAAGTTTTCGAGCTAAAATAGCTCCTCCTATTGCAGTGTCGCCTTCCACCCCAACTATAAAACTAACATTCGTATAATTATCTGTCCATACATTAATAGGTTGTAAGCATTCTGTATCAATATCCGAATAAACGCCACCAAGTATGTAAGTTGCAATATATCTAAAAAAATCTGCTTTCAACACTGCAAAAGGCAAGATATCATAGACAGAAGCTATGTCTGGTGGCATATGTTTATGCACGAAGCTTGACGCTTCTTCATCATTAAAAAAATAGTAAGAAGCATTTGGATTCAGTTGTTTCCATGATGTAGTATAAGGCCAGTGAGTACTACTGTATAAACCTGTTTGAATGATATTTTGAGGAATGTTCAATTGATTATACTTTCTTGTTGCTGTCCTAAGGTTATGACTAGCAGTAGTTGTCATAAAGAATTTTGAAAAAGTAAATGCGAAATAACATAGGAAAATAATGCACCATAAGCAAACAGCTAGAGTGCGTCCAGTATAATCAGACGATTCTTTTATATTAACATAGTAGTTGTTCGTCATATGATACTAGGTATCTTATAAGATAATTCGGTGGTAAATTTCTATGATCTGTAAAAATAAAAAGCAGGGTGTGGGTGTGGCTACATTAAAGAAGTTATGATCGGTAAACCCACACCCACACCCTCTTTTCATGTAAAATAATTGAATGTTAACATTGCGCTAAACGAGCAGAGACTTACACAAATCGTTTAATATATGAAGAAAATTTTACTGTGCAATTGAATGATTTAGTAGATGTTGGTCTTTTAAATCTTAAACTGATAAGAAAAACTTATTTGAAAAACAAACTGAATAGTTTTGTAGAGAAATGAATTCTTTATCCAGCAAGCTCAGAATCAGATCTTAAGACGATTATTAAGTGTCTCAAAGACAGAAAAACAAAAGTTGGTCATTCTTTATGGAACGTCTGTTATATTTTTACATGATTTCATAGAACTCATGGAACTCGACAAAATTTTATATATATATACATATTTATTTATTTATGAAAAAAATTTGAAATATCACTCTTTTGAATACGATTTTTTGTTTTGTTTTTTCTCTTTCGTTGTCTTACTGACAGTGAAACACATATATGCTCACCTATAACGAAAAGAAAACAAAATACAAGAGTCACGTAAAAAAAGTTTGATAAACATATCTCTTTCTTCTTGATTTATCTACTGTTTCTTTTTCCCTTGGCTTCTACTATGTGATTTATTATTACGTGTTTCGTGAACTTATTCTTATATTATGTGTAGAGTTGAAATGAATAGAAAAATCTATCTGATCCAAATGATATTGTGGCTCATATGAAAATTGTTTTTTTATTGAAAAGCTGTTAGCACAATCCCTGTGGAATTAAAATGCGAAACACGATGAAACTCATTGTCTGAAACCCATCTGCCATGTTCTGTGAAGCTTCTCTACCGCGACCTGTATTATAATGTATGGAGTCTCTAGAGATTATCACAGATTATAGCCAAAAGGCTTCATATACGTATGATTACAGACAGTGGCTGAGAAACTGAAAAGACTCACAGACCGTGGTAGACGGGCTCCAGCAAATGAGTTTTATCGCGTTTCGCATTTTAACCACACTGGGATTCGTTAGCAGCTTTTTTCAAGCTGAGTTTCATTTAAAAATTTTTCTGCAACAGTATAAGATGGTGTAATGATCAACATAATGAGGCACGTAACTCGTGATAAAAGGGCGTGGATATGGGTGGGAGTGTCGGTGCAAGTGCGAGTGCAGGTGATGCTGAGGTTGTTGCTCAAATGTGGGTGCGGGTGCGGGTATGGGTGTTCGTGTAGGTGGTAGGACTATAACAGTTCGGAAACAGTTCCGAACTGGTGAACTGTTCAAACAGCTCTCTCGAACTGAGCTGAACTGTTTGAACAGTTCAGTTCAGCTCACTAGAACTGGTCGAACAGCTCTCTCGAACTGAGCTGAACTGTTTGAACAGTTCAGTTCAGCTCGCCAGAACTGTTCGAACAGCTCTCTCGAGCTGAACCGAACTGTTCGAACAGCTCTCTCGAGCTGAACCGAACTGTTCGAACAGTTCAGTTCAACTCAAGAGAACTGTCAGAACAGCTCTTTCGAGCTGAGCTGAACTGTCAGAACAGCTCTTTCGAGCTGAGCTGAACTGTCAGAACAGCTCTTTCGAGCTGAGCTGAACTGTTCGAACAGTTCAGTTCAGTTGCAAAGAACTGTTCGAACAGTTCAGTTCAGTTGCAAAGAACTGTTCGAACAGTTCAGTTCAGTTGCAAAGAACTGTTCGAACAGTTCTGGTGAGCTGAACTGAACTGTTTGAACAGTTCGGTTCAGTTCCAAAGAGCTGTTCGAACAGTTCTCGTGAGCTGAACTGAACTGTTCAAACAGTTCAGCTCAGTTCGAAAGAAATGTTCGAACAGTTCATCGGTTCGTTTGAACCGGGTTCGTGAGCTGGAGCTGCCGTAGTCCTAGTAGGTGGGAGTATTGGTACGAATTTGAGTGTAGATGATGTTTAGGTTGTCGTTCAGATGTGGCGGTTACGTCTTGGAGTTCGAAAGGTGGTTTCTCGTATAAGTTTAAGTTCAGTGTGCTATCAATAGTTCACGATATCTGTAGCTGGGTTGATCGATTCGGAACGGGGATTATTTGCTGACTTAGTAAGCTTTGTATCTTGACATATAGTCATACGGACACCTGTACTGGTGGCTTTCTGGGCATTATATAGAAGCCATAATATCATAGTTCATACTGTAAATTATTCAAATTGATTTTTGGATTAACAATTTAAAACTCTGAGTGATGTTGGTACATTTTGTCCTGTAACGATTTGTCCATGTGACATTTTGTGCACGGCCATTTGTTCATCCGACGTTTTGTCCTGCGACCATCTTTCCTAGTGCCTACAACACCAAGTACAACAGATTACTCAATGATTTTTCTATTCTGCTCGTTACATTTTTGAGCAACAGTTTGCTGCTCTGGTTTATCAGAAGCACCGAAACTTCATATTTCAAATAAATACTGCGTAAAAAATTCACCCCAGCTAGCACTCTAACCAGTAATTTGCTATCGATCTAATTTTGATCCAGGTCGAAAAATCAGACGTAAGATCTTGAGCACCAGGTATGATCGTACAAAAAACAAAATAGTCGCTTCAGACATTTTACATCAATTCGTATTGTAGTATTCTTTTATGATCTTACCATTGGATAATATTTTCTATAAATTTACAGTAAGATCTGACAGAACAACAAGATCTGCCAAGAATATTACAGTGCAAATTGATATAAGTTGTCTGAGACGACGATTTTATGTACGCTTTGCGTCTAATCTTACAAGATCTTACTATCTGATTGTTCGACCTGAAATGTAATCAAGTGGGGAAAGCGCGGCTTCCGTACTTCGAAGTACAAGGAGAGTACAAGGAGCGTACGTGAAGTAAGGAAGTGCGAAAGTCGCTCTCTTTCATCCTTGCGTATTTTCTGAATTCAACAGAAATCCTCGAAGAACTCCATCCAAAAAAAATGCATACGCATTGGGGCATATACAGATATATGAATGCAAAATTGAGGTTAAATCAGTCAAGTCAATAACTGCGAAGATTCCCTAGCCCCTTAGTTCTTTTTAAAATGATGGGGCTTGTTTTTTGTGCAGAATTCAGATTAAAATCATATACCCCCTTGTATGACAATCATGTAGTTGGCTATTTTCAAACAGTGAAGACTCGACTATAAAGATAACTGAACTTGATTAAAGCAAACATGGTTTTCTCGTGTGTCGTATACATACGATCGTTACTAAAATTGTATATTATTCAACTGTAGATCGTTTTGAAGTCAAAGAGAGCCAAAAAATATTTTCCAAGCCCGTATAAAAATACACATTTCAAGAAACAATAACTATAAAAATGACAGAGTAACTTAAGAATCAAATATTACAGTGGGAGCTTTTAATGTATCGATTTTAGATAAAAGTAATGCTTGCGTAGATGAACTTGTGCTTGTTCAACTTTTTCACATAAATAATCACAGCATCTACATTCACAACACTCCTTTATGTACGAAAACAGAGAAAACAACGAAAAGAGTATAGAACAAAAGACAAAGGAAGAACAGAAACGAAAGGAAAATGACGCTGGAACAGAGCCATAAGAATTATTGATGTAATGAAAAGAGATGACAAGAGAATATTGAGCATCATATGTATAATAAAACCAACGAGGTTTGTTACACACATTTCCACATAATTTTCGATTAAAAATGAATTTCCTGACGGAATATAATCCAGCTCAAAAATATATACACATCCATCTCCATATTATTTTTAAGTCAAATTAAATTATCTACTATTATTTCTGAAAAATCTATCGTAAAATTTCAAGCAATTTTTCTCATACTCTTCTCAATTAAATTTCTTGGAAATAGAAACTTACCATCTCATGCGACAATACCGGCCCAATTGCTATGGCTGTCTTTTAGAAGTTCAAGTAGCGTTGAATATAAAAGACGCATTGATTATGTATCGAAATGTTCGTTTGTTTGTTTTTTACGAGAGCAACACACCTGGCAGCCTTGTACTTCTTTTGCGTTCTGTTTCTTCCGTTTTTTTTTCTTTTTGAATTCTTCAGTGCAACATACTCGATTAGGAAGAATAGCCAATGGTAAGAGTAAAATATTCAACATAAAGAGCAGAAAAGGACTGGTTACAAAAAGGTCATACTCTAAAAGAAAAATGCAGTTACCAGAACGTATAAATATATATTTGAACCATCAGTAATGGACAATCGGTCAAAAATAGACAATAATTAATAAATATGCGCCTCTTTGTGTACTCAGCGTGTCTGAGGGTAGATTGTAATATAACCTCTTTACGAATGAATATTTAAGATAAATGCTATTCAAGACGTGTCTGTTTTATTAATATGTTCTTCTACTGTTGCTTGTGTTGGTGATTCCCTTGGCTTGATGTTGTACAACTGGTTCGACTTTTTTTTATCTTCGCTTCACCGCTTCTAAAGAATACTCTCATGCAAGTTTGGCTATTCCAACTTTAACATTTTAACGTTCAATTGAAACTTTTATCACACAGCTTCTAAATAAAACGATATTTAGAGAATTTTCTAAAATCGTAGATTCAATTATCAGTGAACCTTAAATAATTTGATAACACTCGTCTTTTATCAATTCATCTTTTCCACTGGATTTTAACTCTTCTGTTGTGTATAAATGATCCATCACTAGCGTCGTAAAATGCCCCGATTGAGTTCTAACACCGTGTAATTGAATTAACTCAATAGTTTCTCCATTTTGATTTTTATAAATCTAGAAAAGAAAAAACAACCATAGAATGAACACGATTAAAGTTACTAATGCAGAATGAAACGATACATCGATCTCGAGTTGAA